GATTTGTAACCAACGAATAAACGCATGCATTTAAAAGCGGCATCACATGTGAAAGCTTTATTTGAAACTAGAGTTGCTTTAACTTTGCGTTTAATATATGTGTCACCTAATTGGTTCACATCATGAGCCGGATTTGTAATTCTTAAATGAGTTTGTTTATCATCAAAATATGGAGCATCAGAGTCATAGCATGAACTTTCAAGTTCTCTATAATATCTTCTACCGTCATTCTTTGCGAATATTTCATTTATCTTTTCGAATGAATGAAACACATTTCCATTAATCGGTTTAGTGTTTGGCACTAAATAGTTAGTCGTCATTTATTAATAAATAAAAAATCAAAATTAAAAGATGAAAATGAATTTTTAATTTTAATGAAATAATCAACTATGGCTGCAGGTATATTTAAGAAATTGTGGGATAAAGTAAAAAGAGGAGCGCATAAAGTTTGGGAAACAATGAAGAAAGGAGCAAATTGGATATTTAAGAATAAAGAAGCAATTAGTGACATTGCTGAATCAATAACGCCAAAAGCTGCCCCAATAAGAGAAATTTTAAATAAAGGAGAAAAAGTTTATCAAAGACTTCAACCGATACTAAGATAAAAATAATATTTATTTATTTTTCCACTATCTACCTCCTATTTTATTAAGTATTCCTTCAGCAATTCCACCAACTGCGTTACCTGCTTGTGCTCCCATCGCTGGATTACCTGCTTTAGTACCTAATACTCCACCTATGATAGTTCCTGCCGTTTTCGCTACTGGTGCCAAAAAGTTTGCAACGGGTTTAATAATCTTTTTATAAACCCAACCCGCAGCTTTCTTAATTCCATCCCATGATTTTTTAAAGAATCCTGCCGCCATTTCTGATTTAATATTAATTAAAAAATATATTTCATCACTTATATTCTAATTTTTATTTAATGATAAATGAAACCGATTTTAAAAATAAATGAAACAGAGGAGGGAGAAATAAATGAAAGTGAAAATGTTCAACAAAAAATAAACGTTGTTAAACCAATTACTGAAATAAAAATTTTTTCATCTGTTGAAGAATTTAATGACTATTATGCTAACAATAAAAAATTATTTGAAGAATTGACAACATGTAAATTGAATAAAATGTTTAAAGTTGATGGATTCAAAATTTCAAAAATAAAAGGAGTGGTTAGTTTGAAATCTATTCCACAATCAAGAATCACCTCATTAATGAAAATAGATGATTTAACAAAAAGAATAGAAGAGATTGAAGAAAGAATAAATCAAATAATTGATATCATAAATTCAAATAATCATTAATTTCTTAAAGTTCTATGTTGAACTCATCAAATTCTTTTTAAAGTTTATTTTTAAAAAAATTTTTTTATTTCATTATGGTAGTGAATCTTTTACTCGTATATGAGGTCTTTGATTATGACTCCATTGATTCCATTCAGGATTTAAACAATGTTTAATTAATCGCGGAATATCTGACATCATCTATATATAGCTTCTTTTATAAAAGATGAAAAATAAATTATTTTAAAATTAATGTTAATTTTTTAATGCGTTTAGTATGGGCTGAGTGTAAATGTCTTACAATTTTGAAAATTTTTTAAATCTTGATTTATTCAAAAACGTAAGAATAAAAACCGTAAGAATCATACATTTTTTACTTCATATGTTAAAAAAAATGATACAAAATCGCTCGATATTGTATGAATTCTTACGTTTACAAAAAAAGTCACACAACCCTTCCTATCCTACTACTATTAATATCGATAAGAATACGTTTACCTACTATCACAACATATCGATAAACAAGAGTAGAGTGATTTTTATCATCGAAACTTTTTAAAAGCTGTAAGCTGGAAGGAAAAATCTTGTTTTTTCTGAGTTAGTTGTAGAACTATTGATGCACGAGTTATCATTGTGATGTAGAAGGATGTCAATGTACTGACTGAAGGATATGAAGTGAATTGAATTTCATTGCATTTCAATTTGATCAAAATTTGTTGAAATGATATGAATGTGTCAACATCTGTATCACTCCTTCCCTATTCTTTCGAGAACGAAGCTAGCTCAGCTTTCGCTGAGCGAATTGACACTTTTGATGTCCTAAACGTACATGCTCTCAAATTTATCGAAAAAAATTATACCACCTAAACCAGTATATTCTTATTTTAAATATGATATTATCCTTAGAATCCACACTAGAATATATTTAAATCAACTTTTAAAAAAGTTCGAATCCTGCGCGTCTCACTTTTTAAATTTTCGAAAAGGAAAATTATATTCTCCTAAAATGAAAACAATTTTCCGAATTGACATCCTTATGGTGAGTTAACATACGCAACAGTTTTGAAAAAAGTTCCATATTCTTATCAAAATGTTACAATTTTCAAACAAATTTCAAGAAATACTCTCAAAAAAGCATTCAAAGAAATCGGTGGTACACCAAAAATTAAAAGTGGTCCTCCACAAGAGGAATTAACTCCAGAATTAATTTTGAAGGTTCAGAATTCTTATGAAAATTACAAATGTGGGGTTCAAAAATTGTATTGGACTCTCAATATGAATCCAAAACAATTTCAAATCAGTTACAATGCAGTTATTAAGGCAGCAAAATTTCTGGGAATTTACAAAGAAAAAGATAAAAGTAATCCAAAAGCATATTATGTGGATTATGAAGCAATTCTTCCAAATACAATCTGGCATGTGGATATTCATTTTTTGAAAGAACCAGAAACTTTACCGGTTTATGGAATAATTGATGACAAAAGTCGTTATTTGTTAGCATTGAAATTGCTTCGTAACAAAAGTTCAACAGAAACTTCAAAAGTGGCAATTGCAACAGTTCAAAAATATGGAGCACCTTTCTGTTTCTGGTCAGATAACGGTAAAGAAAATGAGGGAGAGTTCACAAAATTTTTGAGTACTTATGACATTCAAATCAGAAAATCAGCTCCATACATGCCACGTCAAAATGGCAAAATTGAACGCCTCTGGCCATCACTGGACAAAAATGCTCCAAAGTCTTCAGAATTTGAGAGCATCAATCAGGAATTGGAAGAATTCAGGCAAAAATACAATGACATGCCACATGGCGCTCATCCAAAAATTGGAGTTCGACCATACACTCCAAGAGAGGTTTACAACAAATTTAAGAAATGGACCAAGGATGATAAACCGCTCTGGAAAAAATGTGTTAATAAGCAGTGGGAAGTTGAAGAGATTCCAAACTATTGAAATATTCTATATTTTTTCAAAAATTCTCATTCAAATTTGAATTTGGTTTTCAAAATTATGAATAAACATTATTTTTATTAAACTTGATTTTTAGCTCTGAAGAATCAAAAGAATTTAGCGAGAAAGAATATGCAGCTCACATAGGGGTAGATAAAGATATATCTCGAAAAAAATTGAATTTATTGTAAAGAATGAAGAAGTTCATTTTAAGATTGAGTTGATTTTCAACCAAAACGAGAGAGCATGCAGGCAAATGAAATTCGAAAAGTGAAAGGAATGACATATGCAAAAGAAAAGATTCAAATAACGCAAGCGAAATATAGATCAGTTAAAATCAGAATAAAATTTCGATCTTTTCTACAGGGAACTAAAGGCTATGAGGCACTAATATATAATCAGTGCCTCATAGCCTTTAGTTCCCTACTAAAAGTGAGAAAACTTGTTCGCAATGTGAAATGATTGCGAACAAGTTTTCTCACTTCAGCGAGGGAATTGTTCCTTATGATGCATACATTATAAATATATACATCATAAGGAACAATTCCCTCTAGATAGCTGGGAAACTTTCTCTAAATAACTTATCATTTGGAGAAAGTTTCCCAGCTATCTACTGGGAACTAAAGGCGATGAGGCACTAATATATAATCAGTGCCTCATAGCCTTTAGTTTGTTATTAAAAACGAGAAAACTTGTTCGAAATGATAAACAATTTCGAACAAGTTTTCTCGTTTTAAGGAGGGAATTGTTCCTTATGATGCATACATTATAAATATATACATCATAAGGAACAATTCCCTCTAGATAGCTAGGAAACCCTAAATTAACTATTAATCTTTGAGATATTTTTTTATTGAGGTTAAGGGTGCCCTATAACGATAATGTAAACATCACAAAATTAACCTTATTAGAACTCGAATGAATGGATTATCCAGATTCTAGTTCTCAATATAATAGCCTTAAAAGTGCTTTTCTGAGGGTGGTTTATCGTCTATAGGGCACCCTTAATACGTTTTTCTAAATAATTAAAATGTAAAATTTTGATTGTGACCTCATCTCTAATATTTTGGCTCATTAATATATTTGAATCATGATCTTTGAGAAGAGTTCTCAAAAATATTCACAAAAGCTATTTTTCCGTGAAATTTAAAAATCCTGTTTATCATATATTACCGAATTCAATTCCCTACATATTTCAAAATATTCTATGAACATTTCAATTTTTGAAAAAAACATATTTTTCCAAATATATTTATTATCATATTTCTAATAATATTTCCTAAAGTGTCACTTTTTACTTACTCGACGATTATTTCCCTCTCAAAAAATTCAATAGCTTACATTTTGACAGAACTTAATATGTAACACAATCAAATAAATAACCTATACTGACATTATTTTTTATGGAATTAAACCAAATTAAATGTCAATCAAATCGAAAGCGAAAATAACATCGATGGTTCAGTATTGTAATCATACAAATTAATGTGAATTCCAACATATTGTTTAATTCTAGCTGAAGATAACCCGAAACGCCTGAAAATTTTTTCGCAATAATTGCTGGCTTATTGATCAAAATGTTTATTCGTAAAAAATATAAATGAATATATCTATCAATGCTATTTCTCGGCTTGTCTTTACCCCAGAACCTTATTGATGTTTGAACATCATTGGTAAGTGGTAAATAATGAAACTGAGTTAAATAAGATACAAAATCTGTTTAAACAAAACAAATAATGTGGATTACAAACAAAATAAACAAAAATACTTAAATTACTTGTGATTAAGTAAGAAAAAGATGTCAAGACATCTTGGAAGCTCATCAATCTTTGCTTCAGGAATAGGAGATTGAGGAGCCGAGACTACTTCAGAGTGGACAGCAAATCTTGGATCAAGAGAACTAATTACAAATGATGTTTTGCTATAGCCAACAAATATTGGCTCACCGGATGGCATTCTAACAGCAGTTACTGTTTCAACTGGCTTATCAGAAAATGAAGATAGCTGCCTTCCAACTAAATGGCAAGCCTCAGTAACTGTATCGACATCATAACCATTTCTTCTGACCATTTCAATTGCTGCTTTGAATGGATTACTGTGTAAACAATTTTCGACGTAGTCAGATTTAGTTTCTACTGATATGAAAGACTCCAAATATGGCTGGAGTTGCTGATAATGTTTTGAAATAAATACATATAATGGATAGGAAGTTTTGCAAACTCTGTGAACTTTGAGATGAGTTATCGGTTGGATTACTTTGAGTAAATTGATGATAACTGATATATTAATATCTCTTGCATATTTATTTCTCCATGCCTTACCAACATCTGGACCAATATTGTATTGATTGAAAAATGAAATCGCACTTTGCAATTCTTTCAGTCTTGATGTTGTTTTTGGCTTGTTAAATAATGAATCAAGGTATAAGCGATGGTTTTGTGAAAGTGAATCTATTGGGATGCCGTAGATTGATGTTGACATTTGATAAAAATGATCTGAATCTTTTCCCAAAAAAATTTGATTCTCAAAAATTGAGCAAGTTTTTAAGACAATTTTCACCGAGAAAATGAAAAAATTGTTAGATATCATAAGACATGCAGAAAAAAACATTTGTCGCGGTACACTCAAAAAGTTAATTTCAAATATTAATCAAAAGACCGAACTTTTGTTAGTGGAATTGAAAACATTAATTGAAAAATTTTATCAGTGGGGGAATTGTTTTTATCTTATTATATTCTAACTTGTAAACAACTTTTATTTTTCATAAATTTTATTTTGAAAATCATTGATTTTTATCAAAATATGATTTAATTTCAGCTAGACGAATTCTTGTATTTTGGATTAAAATACGGTAAAAAACTTCCAACATTCCGATAATATTACGATCACTTTTTTCCAAGAAAAACCGGGAATTCAATTTTTTTCTCCGATTGAACTCATTACAATGCGATAGTGGAATTTTAACCTTTCTAACTCTTTCACCGAAGCAATTATGATGTATTATTATTTTACATTCACTTTTTGTAAAGGACAAATTACTAACGAAATTGAAAAACAATCCAAAATTTTTTCGAACAAAGCTTTGATATCGAAAATTAAAAAATACATTTGTTTATTTGCTTATATTAAGTCATTTTAGTGATTATGCATGCATCTGTCCTTTGTATCGCAATTTAATATTTTATTCAACTTTTTTATAGCGGCGATACGTAAGGAATTCGATTTTTTTCATATATACATGACTTTCTCAAAAACTCATAATTATAAATTCATATCATATTTGATTTCAATTTTTCAAACCCGATTTATAACTTTTTTCCTGGATTCAATTGCACAGTTTACATATGCAATGCATTTGTGTGCCTAAAACTCGACATAAATCTAAATTTCTGAATATTTTTAATATATTGAGTAAGGCCGGGCGTATTTCAATAATATGTTCTCCAAGTACAAGTGATCAACATTTTCATATTCCGTAAAACAATTTAATAATCAAGCATTTTCCTCAGAATAAAATATCATTTTTATCAAACTTTTTCAAAAAGTTCTTAGTCTGAATGATGAATCGTAATATTGCTTTAATGCTATAAATTAAGATTATTTTACTACTGAAATGAAAAATAAGTGAATAAATAAATTTGAAAAGAAATACAAACAAATTTTAGTATAAAAATGATTAATCACTACAAAATATACTTATTAGTACCTTCATTTCAAGAAAGTTAATACAAAATCTCTAAGATGTGTCCTTGTTGGTTCGTAATTACATTTAAATTGCCTTCATATATTAAACCTTCTTTAATCCATTGTCCAAGAAGGTTACTTGTTGTAATATTTGTCTGATATACATGATAATAGGTATCAATGCACCTATTGCTGAGACTTGTACGGATAGTATCATAAACATAACTGGACACGTTCTTTTGTAGATCACTTGACCAAAATGGAACAATTTTAAGTGGAATTGCATTAAAATTGAAGCATTTAAGTTGATATTGTATGGATTCTGTGAAATACAGATTTTCTATGAAGGGTGGAAAATAGGCCACTATAAAATCTTTCCATAATTCTATTCCAGGTGATTGAACTTGAATTCCGAGACTTTGAGCTTTTAATTCAATATATGTTAGTACATAAGGGAGATTCAAATCGACAGTTGAAATCCATCTCAGTGCTTCTGGAATGTAAACTTCAATAAAGCTGAATTTTTTCAGTTGATATGATTCTAATAAATCAAAAATATGATTTACAAATGATTCCTTAACATATGTTGATCGAGATCCTGGTCTGTATGTAGATGAATCGTAAACATCATAAGTTAAATTTGAAAAATTATTCGGAATTAAGCTAAACTTTTTCATATAAGCGAATTCATAAAAACTATCTTGTGTTATCTTATATAGTTCGATTAGTTCTGGAAGACCACTTGTTATATCAGATATTTTTGTTTCTTTCGGCTGAGAATTATAATTAGATGCAGTTCCTTTAACAAAGTTCACTTTTTGCATCGGATCACTATATCCGTCAAGAATTGAAACTAGTCTTTGAGAACATTTTTGGGCAATATTAAGAAATTGATGATCTCCGGTTAGCTTGTATACACCGATAAATGAGGCAATATATCTTTGCCAGAATGACCTTATATTTACATCTTGAAATTGACTACAGTCCAGATTTTTTTTGACATAATTTGCAAGAGTCTGAAATTCGTTAATTCTACCTGCAATCAATAGAGTTTCAAGAGATTCAACAGCAAGTAATCCCATTCCAGAGTAGTTCAAGCATTCATTAGTATTTATTCTTATTGCATCGCCATAAATACAATGTTCAGTAATCAATTTGTAAGATTTGGAAACTATATCTACTAAACTTTGAAACATAGGTTGAGATCGATCGATGTTTTGTATGTCAAAGAGATTTGAATCATCAATCACTGTATTTTCATGATTTCCGCTATTCAACCATAGTCCAACAGCTATAAAGGAAATTGCTGTAAAAATGAATAGAATAATCTTATATTTATTGATGAAAAGATGTATTTTTCTAAGCTTTCTTTTCATCAATTTTTTTTGATGATTTTGTTTCTTTTCTTTACTATTCATGGTCATTCATTTATGAAAGACAAAATCAATCAACAGAAAATCCTATTCGGCCAGATTCCATCATTTGGTAACATGCTTTCGCAAGCTATTTCACATGAAAATATAAAATTTAATAATATTGATTTTTCAAATGAAAATTTACTTAATGAGCGTGTTTTCCTAAGCGAGAAAAGAGCAAGACCAGCTCAAGATGAGGAAGATGACGACGATGAAGATGTTGATACGTCAAAAAAGACAAAAGATGAAGAAACAGTTGCTTCAAGAACTCATGACAAAGATGTTGTATCTACCCAGGAATCTTCAAATTCAACTTCCACAAAAACAACAAAATCAAAATCGAAAAAACAAAAACAAAAAGATGTTGAATCATCGAAATCTGCACCAGAAACAGAACAAATTAAAACTGCCAATGATACTCAAGAACCAAAAAAGAAAACAAAAAAGAAATCTAAAAAACGTGCTGAAAAAGAAGAAGTAGAAGTTGAAAAACCAAAGTCAAAATCAAAATCTTCATCAAGTGATGATATTAGCTTTGAATCAGACGAAACTGAACATAAATTTGTTCCAAATGGAAACATTCCTAAGATTGGATATCCTGGCTTTGTTCCAGTTCTGATAGGATTCTTATCACTGATAATTCTTATATATACAATCATAGCCAAACCAAAATTAGATTTACCATTAATGCAGAATGCTGAGAGCTTAATTGATGGACCAGATGATCCATTAGTAGAAGGTGTTGAAACTAATGATACTCATGAGGAAGAAAATGTGGAACTTAATTCATTGAAACCACTCAATCCAGAATAGAGATATATAATTTATTGTTTTATAAAATGTTTTAGATGTATTTTTATATGACCTTCATTTTGTTCTCATATCTGATTATTTACATATTTTATTTTCTACTCGGCAAAAATTTTATAGCAAACAAGGCATCAATGAGGCTTCGTTCGCCAAGAGGTTATTATTTCCTGCAACTGCTTACTCAACTTATCTACAATTTCATCAAGCCACTTATCTTCAGAAAATCTATAGTATGCCCATATGGCAAAACTCTTTATGTTAGTGCAAAGGTTCTACTAATATGTGCCAATTTCCATAAATTCTTCACTTCATGGGAAAATTGAGAAAATTTGTCATAAAATTTCAAATCATATTTCAATTCCTACATAATATTATTCAGCAGCTTTAAATAGCTAACTTAATTTGGGAAAAATGATGTGAATTTGACCGATAGGTAAAGAATTTAAAAAGTGACAGAATTTGTGAGATGACCTATCGAATTCATGATCGTCAGATTTGTATTCAATTTTTAATAAAATATCGAGCGGAATTTTACAACCGCATTTTTTGATAGATGTCGCTTAAAAATATCGCAGTCTTAACATCCGGCGGTGATAACGCAGGCCTTAATGCAGCTGTTCGTGCGATCACACGTGTTGGAATTGCAAGAAACGTAAATGTTTATGGCGTTTTAAGAGGATATCGTGGACTTGTCGAAGGACAAATTTTCGAATTAAATTCGCGCGCAGTTTCTGGTAAGATGGGACTTGGTGGCACATTCATTGGTACAGCTCGTCTTCCAGAATGGAAAGATCCAAAAGTTCGCCGTGAAGCTATTCGTAACATGAACCGTCACGATATTGGCGGTCTCATCGTCATCGGTGGTAATGGCTCCCTCTCTGGTGCTTCCTTGTTAGCAAAGGATGGTTTTCCAGTCATTGGTATGCCAGGCTCAATTGATGACGATGTTATGGGCACAGAAGTCTGCGTTGGTGTCGATACAGCTCTCAACATTATTATTGAGGCTATTGATCGCATTAGAGATTGCGCTTCTTCAATTCAACGTGCATTCGTTATTGAAGTTATGGGTCGTGATTCAGGCGCTCTTGCTTTAATGTCAGCTGCTGCTACGGGCGCTGAAGTTTGCCTTGTTCCAGAAATCCCATCACCACCAATGGAGAAAATTGCAGATGCAATCACAAACGCTTACACAAAGGGCAAACCATACGCTATCATTGTTGTCGCTGAAGGCTGGAAGCCAGGTATCAACAAACTTGTCGAATTCTTGAATTCAAAGCAAGATGAAACAGGTTTCGATGTTCGTACAACAGTTCTCGGCTACACACAGCGTGGTGGATCACCATCTTACATCGACAGATATTACGGCACTGCTATGGGCGCTTTCGCTGTTGATTCCCTTCTTGCTGGCGAAACAAACAAATTCGTCGCTGTTCAGAACGGAAAACCCTGCCTTCAACCACTCGATACTCTTGTTGGCAAACTTAAGCCACTCAACAAGAATCTTCTCGACTTATACAACAAACTTGATAACTAAACTGCTTTTTTTGAATTACCCCATCAAATACATAACACTTTTTATTTCTTTTGTATCTTAACTTATAATAATTTTATCAAATTTTATTATTAAAGATTTGGGACAAATATTAGCTATATTTTAGATACACATTGCTAGGGAACATAGACATTCTTTACTCATAGTGATTTGTCAATAATATTGAAGAATATAATTTTTTTAATGAGGTAACATAGAATTTCTATCTTAAACCCATGAATCCATAGTTAAAACAATGATTTTGACCTAATATTACTCTTTAAATAATGTATATATCTATAGAATCCATTAAATTAAACATATTTCAATTTCCTTATTACAAACACTTATAACATAGTTATACTTATCTTCTATATATTCAAAATTGAAAAAAAATTGATTAATGAATTTTTGATTTTCAATATATCTTAGAAAACAAAACAAAATTTATTCACAAAACAAGTTTAAAAACTTATGGATGTATGGTCTCACCCTTCTGATATATACTGGACTTCTTCGTTGAAGGTAGAAGCAAATATGAGACAATAGTGATAAAAGCAATGAGAGCAATTGATTTAATCAGAGGCATTGTATCATCTGACTCATCAACATCAAGAACTACAAGCTTTCTTTTCTCAGGTCTAATTATTTGCAACGAAATCTGAGGTTCTACTAAAACAGGGTTCTGAATTTTAATATTTTCAGTGCTATTATATGCTTCAAGTGTAAGATTATCTTCTAAAAACGAGTTATCAACAATAATATTTCCTTCTGAAACACTTAATAGTTCTCCTTTGGAATTGTTCTTGAAATAGCACATATAAAATGTGGCATTATTGTAGAATGTCTGTATAAGTGGTGAAAGGTTGTTTTTGCAAACATTATAAAGAAAATTCGAATTCGAACATGAAAAAGTGTTTCCATCTAAATAGAATACAGCTACTGAATATGCACGGCATTTCAAGTAATTGGAAAATTTGATTCCGACAGTACATTTCTTGAAAATTGCAGCTCCACCGATTGCTTCACATTCGCAACCGTAATGATACTGATTTTCTATATTTAATGTAGAATCAATAGCGTGAATTGCTCCTGCTTTATTAATTGCAGAACATCTTGTAATATTCGAGGTTAAAAAGTCAGAGCTACAGTTTATTATGGCAACAGCTCCTCCATTATTTGCTTGGTTATTTGAAAATATACAATCTTTTACAAGAAATTGGATTTTTTGAGCAAATAAAGCTCCATCTTTGTCTGTAATAATGTAATCGAATAAAGTGTTCTTAACAATATTAGTATTATTACCAACTATTAATCTTTTGGATACTTTTGACATCCCTTCTGAAGCCAAAAAAATATTTTGATTTAATTTTTGAAAAGTGCATGAATTAATTTGAATATTCTGAATAACTGAGTGAATTCTAATCGATCCTGATTGACTAAATTGAGAATCGGCAATTTTGAAATGTTCATATTTTGGAAACACGTCATTATGCTTGTTTTCGCCATTGATTTCATTAGGAATACTAGATTTATGAATTGAACTATGGTAATAAGCCCTAAATTGCAATAATATCATATGATGTAACATTGAAAATAAAAAATCTGTCACATTTTGCCTCATTTCTGACAAAATCATCTTCATTCATTGATTTGGAACTACATTAGAGGAATTAATGAGTATCTGGACAATGTAGGTAATGTTTATGTGTATCATTCTTCAATTTGACATTATTTTGGTTCTCAGTCAGTTATTTTTCACATTCATTCATATTTTAGAGCATTTTCAATGAACAGTCTTTCAATCATTCATGAAAATATCCTTCGTTTCAAGTTTATTCATGCCTTTATCTAAGAAATTGCAAAAGTATCTTTTTGGCAAATATATTAGCCCTTATGAAAGAAATAGTAGTGTTGTTATATGTAAAAACTATTTATTCATATTAAATTAAATGGAGTTAAAGACAAAATAAAAATATTTAGAGAATATGCTGTTTGGCGACAAGATGGTTTATATTCCTTGAGTTGAATCCATAAATCTGCAAAATAAACATAGTGATGCAGTGATTGATAAATAAGACCAGGAATATGAGAACCATATGAACGATCATATGTGCCAATGCTAAAATAATAATGAGGGTTTATACCTGTAAAGTCTAAACAGTTATATTTATCAGATTTTGCTAAACCAGTAAATTTTTCCCATATATCTCCTGAAATTTTAGTGTATTGTCTTGGTTCATTAGAAAGGAGTGATGTATTTTGGCGCCATATTTGATATGAGTTCATCTGTTTATATTCAAGGAGAAGAGTGAGATAACTTGTTGATTTTAAAACAGCATCGTAGTCGTACAAGCCTATAATGGAATATCTCGAATCATCTTCTGTATTATTACATGTATTACTCTTTGTAAAGAATTTGTAGCTTGTAGAATTATGATGCATTAACAAAATCCAGTTTGAACCATATGCAAACTTGGTTTTCTGCAAACCAATCGAAAATATTCCATCTTCAGAATAGTCAACACTGTTATTATGATAGTGCGAAATTTAGTGTTGAATATCCAATGAAATCAATTTGACAGAATTCTCAATTTTTTTTTGAAAAATTGCTAAACTATCAATTGTGGTAACATGAATGGAATATTCTAAAATTTCCATCCAGAAATCTGATAACAATTGAGAGTCAAATACATTTTTACAAACTTTCATATTGATTATGGGTTTCCAGGATTGGAAACCAGAATTCTGACATATAAACTATATTACAGTACCTTTAATGACACATGCTTGAATCCACGATGAATATTCTGATAAGATTTTGAAATTATAAAAATATTGTACTCTGAAAGGGTTTGCATATTTTCTTTATAATTCAACAAAAAGTGCAAAGGAACGTGTTACACAGATTAAAGATTCCTTTATTTTTGAATATCCATGTGATTCTAATACAACATGTGAGCCATATGCTATCCAATTCCAAAAAGGTCGATATCGTATTGAACTCTGGGGTGCCTCTGGTGGCAACGGACGTTTTGGAAATGAAATTGAATTAATGCCCAACTCAGGTGGAAATGGTTCATATGTTGCAGGTAATATTTACTTGAAAGAGCCATACAAGTTTTATTTATATCTAGGTGCCAAAGGGGAAGATCAATATAAAGTCGATGATTATATCAATCCATCTCCCGGCGGTTGGAATTTTGGAGGATTTGGAGGAGTCGATAAATGTGATATTTATCCAGGTAATCCAACCCCTCCAGAAAGCGGTGCTGGTGGAGGTGGTGCTGTTGATCTAAGAATAGATTATATTGACATAAATTCTCCCAATCTTGACCACGAATTGCTGAGGAAATCGTTGATGAGTCGAATTATTGTTGCAGGTTCTGGAGGGGGTGCTGTTTCTGATGGAAAATCTATCGGATTTCCAGGAGGAAATCTTAATGCTTTAAACAATCGTGAAAACATGTTTGGTGGCACTCAAACCAAAGGTGAGCTAGGGATAGGAATGAATGGAACAATCACAGACAAAAATCAAGGAGGCCCAGGCGGTTGTGGTAGTGGATATAGAGGCTGCTATAACACATTCACAAATGATATGACTGTGCAATGGTCCTTCCAGGTTGGAGGGTCAGGAGGAAGTTCGTATATTAGTGGACATCCTGGTTGCATTAGTCCTCAGTATCCTTCGGATACAATTGCAAATCTGACTACACCATTCCATGAGTCTAATTTCTATTTCTCGAACACCATCATGAAGAATGGCAATGAATCAATGCCAGATTCATATAGCACAAACAATATCGTTGGCCACATTGGCCATGGCGTTTGTCGCATTACCTTTTTATTCAATCCTTATTGTCAAACTCAATTTGTTTGCTATCTAAGTACTATTTCTTTCTTTTTGAATTCTCTATTTATCTTTCTCGTTTCAAATTAAAATAATATATTTATAAAAGATAATTTATCATATCTCATTTTATAAATTAGAATATAATCTATTTTTCATAATCATTAGCAATATTTTTGAAAAATGTATATTTACTCATATAAGAATGAAGAGAGTGAAATACAAAATATGAAAATTAAAATTATTTAATAGTTGGCATGATGGTTTATATATCTTGAGTTGAATCCATAAATCTGCAAAATAAACATAGTGATAAGCAGATTGATAAATTGGACCAGGAATATGAGAACCATATGAACGATCAAAAGTGCCAATACTAAAATAATAATATGGGTTTGAACCTGTGAAATCTAAACAGTTAAAATCATACGATCTAGCTAGACCAGTAAAGTTAGTCCATGAATCCCCTAAAATTTTAGTGTATTGTCTTGGTTCATTAGAAAGGAGTGATGTATTTTGGCGCCATATTTGATATGAATTCGTCTGTTTATATTCAAGGAGAAGAGTGATAAAATTTGATGATTTTAAAACAGAATCGAAGTCGTACAAGCCTACAATGGAATATTTTGAATCATTTTCTGTACTGTTGCATGCATCAGACTCTGAAAAGAAGTTGTAGTTTGTAGAGTTATGATGCATAAGCAAAATCCAGTTTGATCCATATGCAAATTTGGTTTTCTGCAAGCCAATCGAATATATTCCATCGTGTGAATAGTCAACGCTGTCGTTGTGATAGGAGGTTGCTTCAACTATAACAATAGAATTATAAAATCCGAAATAAACTATTCAAATGTCTTGATTTTAATTTTGAAAGAATATCACACGACTTTCCAACTATTGTTAGCATGATTTCGTTTTCAAAAAATTGAATTTCAATTGAAAATCTATGAGCCTTATTCCATTTATGCAAGTACTGTTTCCCCAATTTCGAAGTCCAGCACTCTTGGTCTTGACATATGATATAAGTCAAGATTCATGTGATATGTTCTAACCAAAATGAACTGAATTTATTTTAATTTTGTAATATATTGATAAGGCGACTTTGAAAGGGTTTGCATATTTTCTTTATAATTCAACAAAAAGTGCAAAGGAACGTGTTACACAGATTAAAGATTCCTTTATTTTTGAATATCCATGTGATTCTAATACAACATGTGAGCCATATGCTATCCAATTCCAAAAAGGTCGATATCGTATTGAACTCTGGGGTGCCTCCGGTGGAAATGGTCGAATTACTAATCAACCTAATATTCGATTAAATTCTGGAGGAAAAGGTTCATATGTTTCTGGCAATATTGTCATGGATGAGCCTTATAAGTTTTATTTGTATCTAGGAGCTAAAGGCGAAGACCAGTATAAAACTGATGAATATTCAAATCCCGCTCCCGGCGGTTGGAATTTTGGAGGTTTTGGTGGGGTTGATCAAAGTGATTATTCCCCAACAGAACCAACCCCTCCAGAAAGCGGTGCCGGAGGGGGAGGTGCTGTAGATCTTCGAATAGATTATATTGACATCAATTCTCCTGATCTTGATGATGATTTGTTGACAAAATCATTGATGAGTCGCATTATTGTTGCAGGTTCTGGAGGTGGCGCTGTTTCAGATAAAAACATAAATGGATACCCAGGAGGGACTCTTAAGGCCTCGAACAATGGAGAACACATGTTTGGAGGCACTCAAACCGATGGAATATTAGGAAAAGGAATGAATGGTTCTATCACGAACAACAATCAAGGAGGCCAAGGAGATTGCGGCAGCGGATATAGAGGCTGCTACCATACATTCACAAGCGATATGACTCAAGCTTGGTCATTCGAGTACGGAGGATCAGGAGGAAGTTCGTATATAAGTGGACATCCTGGTTGTATAAGTCCACAACATCCTTCTGATACAATTGAAAATCAAACAACGCCGTTCCATGAATCTAATTTCTACTTCACGAACACTATCATGAAAGGTGGCAACGAAAACATGCCAGATCCATACAGCACAAACAATATCGTTGGCCACATTGGTCATGGTGTTTGTCGCATTACCTTCTTATTCAATCCTATTTGCCAAACTCACGTTACTTGTTATCAACGAACTGTTTCAATCTTTTTAACTTCTGTATTTATATTTATAGGGTCAGAATAAAAAATGATATCTTTCACGAATGATATTCAGATTTCATATCAAATCTTATGATTTGAAAAATATACAACATGAGGTAGTCTTTATATATTACACACAATTTAGGCACATGCTCTAGGGTATATTTAAATATAAAGTCAATCAAGGTGGTTTAGATGTTTTCATTTTCCAGGCAAGAAACTTAGAAAATGTGGCGTTATTAATTAATTTGAACTCTATTGCCCTATAACATTAAGTTTTTATTATCAACAGTGTTTAAATATCTCATGAAATCAATCAGAATTTGTTTTTCTCAACAAATGAAATCATAAAAGTGACAATGTTTAAAATTCGCCAAAGTAGATCTTTATGCTCCTGTGGAGGTGCAAATAAACGCAAGGTTTTCATAGTATTTATCCTCCCAATTTTAATAGCTGTTGCAGTTGGATCTTTATTCTATTTGAATTTTTATACAAATACAAAACCTGTCAAAGTCGAAGAAGAGAAAGAAACTTTCGATTGGAGTGATGTAGATTGGGAAAAATCAACAATTAAGCCACCCCCAATGCCAGAAAGGCATCCAATTCATATTTTTGGTGAACCAATTGCTCCTGTTAAAGATTCATACTTGTTTGACCCAAGACCAATTACTACTCTTTATGCTTCCGTTGATAATGTTACTTTCGATACTTACGGTTACTACATAAAAGGTGGAGTTCGTTATCCAACTCAGCATCCATGGCTTGTTCCTCAATTTGAAATAGAAGAAGATGAAAAGATCGCTTATCAAGTTGATCAAGCAATTGGGCTTTATATTCCAAGTAATTTCAACAAAATGGATATAATTCTCAAATATATTCATCCTTTATTAGCTTTGCCACATGATATCCGTTCCAAGGTTCCGATATTTACAAACAGTCCAGATCCAATTATTCCAACTCTTTTGGGTTATTTGGATATCCAAACGAAATTAACAGTTATGGAAGGTGCTGTACACGCTAAAACAATGTACATCATCGACTATCCAGAAGAAGATGGCTTTGCATACAACGAATACTTCGCTTACATGGAATTGTTAAAACCACGTTATCAAAAGGTTACTAACTCGCATATTACACTTTCTAAAGAGTTCGATACCAGATTGAACGATAAGCAGCGAACAATTGACGTTATTACAAAGAATGATACAAGAATTGTCGTTGATTCAACGCCAAGCAACCCTCTCGAGAAGATGGAATGGTACTGGACACATCCATATTTCATTACATTCGGAAATTCAGACATTATCATGGCCGCTTTCATGAGACCAAATTCTCATCTGATTTTATACACAAATAAGCTTGATTTCATCTTCGGAGCTCGTTACGCACACTTAGCTGGAGCAAGAGTTACAGTCATCGTATCGCCAGACCATAAACTTACCGCTTCAAAGAGAAAAATCGTTCGTGACATTATTAACTTCGAAATTCCTGAAAAAGAGAAAACCCACAACGACGACCAGGAAGAACTACAACAGCTCCCTGCATTCGATTTCACTGATGAGTCTCACGAAAAAGAATTAACGGAATGGGAGAACAAACTCATAGAAACAGCACCTGCAGCTGGCCCAGTTGATCCTGCTCAACGTGAACGTGAAGAAATAACTCCAGAACCAGTCGATGAATGAAAATAACTTTTATATTTTTTTATTTCTTTTAGAATAGTTTTATGCTTAATACATGCGATTCCATGATAAATAACCTTCAGTTATAAACATATTGTATTTTCTCATTTTAAAATTTTTGTATTTTTCTTTTTTATTTCTTGAACATTTGGACGAAATGTATTATTAGAAATTGATTCGCATGTAGCCAAACCAAATACTTTTTCTATCTTTTAGAAATTTTGCTCATATCTCATATGAAATGTTATTCAATCAGGCTTATAATAGAATTACAGCAATAAACGTACAATACAATTCTTAAAAATATCATTTTTGCTACCAATTAATCAATGAAACTCATATTTAAATTGCATAAAAAATTATATTGAGGGAAATCTTTAGTTAAAACTCAAAAAAACTTTAAGACATCTTCCACAAAATTTAGTACAAAAAGTAAAATTTAAAACATAAAAGCTTTATGAGAAATTTTTAACATTTATAAAATAAATATCTACTGCTTTGCACTTGAAGCATTGAGACGTTCTAATGTGCGCTCAAATTTATCTAAGAATGGATCTTCAAAGTTATCTATTTTATTTGCAGCTTTTGTAAGGTTATTTGCTACATCAACAAGCTGATGGAGTTGGTTACAACGTGATTCAAAGTAACTATCCATCATTGAGACAAATGTATCTGTAAATTGTGGAACATAATTTGAATTATACTGAGAAAATTCTTCTTTTTGTTTTGTAGCTTGCTCACGAAGTGATGCAGCTTCTTCTCTAAGCTTTCTTTCATTTTCGGCCGGATCTCCAACAAATTTCGCCATAATCGGATTTGGTTTGGCCTCTGCTTTAGCTTCAGCCTTCGTTGCTGCATTTTCTGCACTTTCTAAATCTTGTTGCTTCTTCTTTTTCTCGGCAAATAATGCATTAAAAGTTTCGAAATTTTTATAAAATTCGTCGGTCATTTCATGAAAATCTTGGTAAATCTTTGAATATGTCTTACCCTGATTCTGAATATCTTTCAGTGGATCCCTCAAACTCTCCGGCTGAGCTGGAATAAAATTATCATAATCTTGGCCAAAAGCAGATCCTGTTGAAAGCGAGATTTTCTCTTCTTTATTTCTATTATCTGTCAAGTTCAAGTAGGCGAGATGGTATTCTGGGAAAGATCTCAACTTTGCAACAACTTCCATAATTTTTTTTTGGGAAAAAAAATTTGAACTTCTATGACATGGATCGGATAAGTTTAACAATGCTATTAAATTGCAAAATTAGCATGTGCAAATAATCAAAAAGCGCATGATAAAGGAAAATCGGATTTTAGATAAGCTAACTCATCATAAAAGTGACACTTTGATGTTACAATTTTTGATAGTATTCAGACTATCGACAATCATCAATGAACAACATGAAAATATGATAGACTCACACTTAGAAATAAACCATGAGTCTCCTCTTCCAACAGCTGTTCCAACTTCATATGATGAAACAGAAAATAAGTTCGTTCGTATTTTCGGAATATCATACAGAGCTTTTATTCAGATAATGATATATGGTAGCTTTGGTTTTATCGCTATCGCATCAATAATATTAATAATTTACGCTTGTCAAAAGGGGATTGAGCCAGAAGTAGATCCATTTCTTGAAGATCAAAAAGATGATGACCCACTCATAGAAGGACCACTTTAATGCCGAAAAACACAAATATTAACAACAATTTTTCATATTATCAACAAGTTCCAATCTATGACTGTAATGCATCTTTGTTGATATCCAAATAGAAGTTTTGCATGAATTTCACATACAATTTTTTTAAAAAAAATTCAAAAAAGGAATTTTATTTTTTTTAATATTAACCATGAAACTAGTTTCTAGGGTTTTAGCTATATTATATTCTATTTCTTGTTTTGTTTATATGAACGTAAAAATTATTTTTAAATTTCTTGAATTCTTTGTTGAATGAAAGCTGAAAAGAACATACTCACAAAGGTATGATTTTTCTGTATTGATAATCCCACATAAAAATAATTATTTGTTGATATTTTCTAAATTGAGTATTTTGATTTTATTCTATAATCATTAGGTCGAAAATTCAATACTAAACCAAATGTATAGGAGTATAAGTCTATATCTTTTTCACCTAATTACTCTTATTATGCTTATCAACATATTGATGCTATTTTACGGGTGTGAATTCACCACTATATTGAAAGTGAAAAAAATCAGTTGGAAAAATTAAAACAAAAATACAAACATTTTATAAAAAAGTTTCGGTAGGTCTAAGAGACTTCCTTCCAGAAGGCAACTTATGCAAGAAGGAGTTATGACCAAATATAGCTTGATGTTCAAATTTCTGAGAAGGATTTTTGTAAATCATAGGAGTACTAGAAGTCCTTTCTGGGTACATTAATCGTTCAGTAAGTAGATCTGGCTGTTTATCATTTGAAGCCGAAGTATTATTATTTTCTGCTATCATATCTTGGCTAGCAACGGAATCGATGACATCTGGTACTGAAATTGTGGTTAATCTAGAAATGCTGAAAGCATAATCTTCTTTAAGAATTAAATTTTTAAACATCTCTCTGTATTTTTCGTAATTAGGACGCTCCGTAAAATCAAGTTTTCTTGCCTCATTAACAAACGCTATGAATTCTTGGGGAAGTCCTTCGCATAACATCTCTGCATTTGTTGCAAATTTTTTCTGAGCGATATGCTCATATTTTTCCTTTTTCGTTTTAGCTTTGATGCCTTGCCAAGGGAGTTTACCCTTTAAAAGATAAACAAGAACGTATGCTATACTTTCTATATCATCTCTTCTACTTTGTTCTATGCCTAAATGTGTATTTAATGAAGCGTACCTTGCTGTTCCTGTTAATGAGCGCCCTTCTCTATATTGGATGTGGCTTTTAGTTTTAACGTCGATATAACGTTTTGACAAACCAAAGTCTATTAAGTATATAATATTGTTATCCTTTCCTTGCCCAAGCACGAAATTATCTGGTTTAATGTCTTGGTGGATGAAACCTTTTGAATGAAGAAATTGGACGCGAGAAATCATTTGATAAGCTAAAGTCGCAACAGTAGGAACGTCAAAAACTTGAGGTGCGATAGTATGATATGTTTCTAAGGATTTCCCTAAAAGATCCATTGCAAGACAATTAAAATCATCGTCAATGAAATAGCCATAGCAGTTGGGAAAGCCAGCTTCACCATTAAGCAATTTATATATACGAGTTTCTCTGAGTAGTTGTGGAGCAGTAGATGTAGCTGGTTCGGATTTTATCGCGTAGGTTTTACCATTTTGCAAATTTTTAGCAGTATATATCTCACCAAACGATCCTGCACCAATCTTGCTCAGTATTTCATATTTTCCAGCAAGACGGCGTCCAAGCATCGAGAGGGTTGTGTAAAAAATGTAAACTTTACATTATTTTTTTATTAATTTTTACAAGCGGATAATACTTTAAAAACAGGGTCAAAAGTTGCAGACTTTCTCAAATTTATTTGAAGTATTGTAAACACATCATCAAAAGTAACATATTTGTTTTGAATCAAATCGTTTTTCATTTACAAGTTCTGAGCTTTTTCAATTTTATTTTTTCTTCATACTACTCACAGTATACTAGGAATTGACTATTATGAGCAGATTCTCAATTATCCCTGCTTTTTCTGCAGAAATTTTGGATGTCAACAATAAACTGAGAGATGAGATAACCAGATTTGACCAAGCACCATAATTATGATTATTTTATACGACTTTGAATACCAAATACATTATTTCTTAATATTATGAATATTATATTTACAGTACTTTGATATGAGTATTCAAATCAAATCTATAATATTAACATGAAGAGTTATATATGAATGCATCAATAATTTTATAAAAATCAATGTTTGTTATTAGAAATTCGAAAAAATGAGCTTACAATATATGTTATCAGCTAAAACTTATCCATAACAGAGCCACGCGAAGATTGTATAGCATATATGCTACAAAATAGCTAGTTTATTGTACTTTTGAAAGCGATCTCTTGACCCTCCAAGGATAAATAGCGATAAAAAGTGGCAAATTATATGAAAATATTGTGTGTGCTCATCTCAGGAATCAATTGGTTAAATTTAGGTTAGTGGCATTTCAAATGTATTGAATTACGCAAATCTTATTTCAAATGAAAGTTTTTCAATCAAAGAAGCGAATTCTCCTTCATGACATGGTCGCAATTCAGAAGTTTTTAGCAAACTCTGCTGAGTACCATGATTCCTATGCAGATACATGGGCAAAAATGGGCGAAACCTTGAAGAATATGATTGTTTCACAAAACTCTGCAATTTCAGATCAAATGGAAAGATTTGCAGCCTGTCTCAAAGAAATAGCCGACTGCCATAAAAGAATTACAGCTGCAGAAACAAGAAATTCTGAAGACTTTAATGATGTTATCGAGAGATATGAAGTCCTCTATCGCACACACAATGAATACTTAGACGCGAAGAAGAAATTCCAAAATGCAAATGCCAAACTCAGAGAAGCTTTAGATCTTGAAATGTATAACAAAGCAAGACCTGATTGGGATAAACTCCAAGAAAAGACAGAGATCAATGTTACCAAATGCAAAGAAGCAAAGGTTGCAGCTCTTGAGGATACAAAAGTTAAACTTGCAACTTTAATCGAAACAAGAAAGAAATATAACCTTTTCAAAGTTAGAAGATTCCGCCAAGGCTGGATCCGTTACGGTACAACATTAAAGACAGAAAGCGAAAATGAAATCGAAATTATCAATAAAATACAAGGAATTCTTAACGAAATCAGGGGTATCAAAGACGTTAACCCAGAGGATCTCAACAAGATCGAAACAGCTGTTACAAAACAACTCGAAGAAGCTCCTCAACCACAATTTACTCCAGATGCCGAATCTCTTCAACAAGCCAACACTGTTACTGATTTACCAGCAGAATTAGATCATATGATTGATTTGCCTGAAGTTCCACATGATGTTCCTGAAATTCCAGAAGAAGATACAGAAGACCATTCAAACGAAAAGAAAGATGATGAGTACTATTGAAGCAAATTTTGTTTATCAATACTAAACTAAATACTATTTATAAATATTTTTTTTGCCAAATTTCGACTTTACATCATCTTTTTTTGACAATTTCAAGTTTACATTTTTCAATTTCTTTTATAATTTTTAAATGTATCGTGGACCCAGAATGAAAACAGCGCCATTTGCGCCATTCAATAAAGCCTTCTTACCAGAAAGTATGCTTAGGAAGTTTGGTTTCGTTAAAAGCAATGATATGCCTTATGAAAGATCACACGCAGTTAGAACAACTCACCAGGAATTCTATAAAGTCGTCCAAGAATCAATGTTTGGTGCACCAAACCACAAAATTCTTCGTGTAGATCCTTTAAGAGAAAAAATTATTATTTCTGATACAGAAAAAGGAAGAGGTGTTTCGTTTGCATTCTCAGATATTAAACAGGTTGTTACTGATGATAATGATACATGCCGTGTGTCAGTAATCCCACACGACAGCTCATATCGTACAATGACTTTTGGAATGGAATCACCAGAAGTTGCTCTAGCATTTACACAGAGACTTGAAACCTTAGTTCAAGCTCGTAAAATTGGTGATAGCTAAATTTTGTATTAATGTTGCGTCCTAACTCTAAAAAAGTTTAATATCTTATTGTGATTTAATTAAACCTGACTTTTTAATGCTCGCCGCCTTATTTATGCATGATGAATCTACAATTAAATTTGGAAAATGTTAATAATTTATTTTCTTATAATGGCAATGAGTTTAAATTAAGTGTATTCGATCCCCACAAAAGATTTACATTCAGATTTTATTGTAAAGTATATGGAAATTTGAAATTTATTGAAAAATGGAAATTTTGTGTAAAACAAACTCTTTATCTCTATTGGAATATGCTCATATCTTTCATAGATGAATATGAAATAAAAATTAGCAAAAAATTACAAAATATAACGACGAGGCCTTGCTTTTTGAACGGCAAATGGCTGTTTAACTGTTTGCACTGGATCTTTGGCATGCATTAAGATAATAGTCAAAATAATCAGGGAAATTATGAAAATAATTAAACAAAGTCTATTCTTTGAATAATCGGTTGTGTCTTCGACATTTTCTGTTAAAACTCCTTCCTTAGACCAACTTTTACGATCTTTTGAAATCGAAACTAAAATTCTTCGATCTTTTTCACGAGGGATCTTGCAAAGTACGTAATCTGGATCAACTTCAATTGCCTTAACAATAGTTTCTTCAAATTTGCACCAAGCTTCAGTCATTTGATCATCAGAAGCGTAAATCATTCTAACCTTAGCAAATGTCTTGTTTTCTCTGTACACAAAGTTAATAGATGGCTGAATTTGGATGCATTTGAGACCATCGCCCGTATAATCATCAAAACACTTGCAATTGCCAGGATATTGGCAAAAGGCATACTCAGAACATTTATCTTTGCAGTTATAACAACCTTGGACAGTGTCGTATGGATCTCCGAGTGGAAATGAATCATTACACTGACAGCCGTATTCATTTTCATATGCATTTTTGGCGCAAATTAGGTTTCCATCCTTATCTACTGGGTGGTGAAGCTTTGGATTGTATTTTCCTGGAACATAGTAAGGAGAATCAGGATCATCACTTGAAGTGAAGTTTGGAGGGTTAAAATCTAGTTCATCATCAGAGTCTTCATCTCCATGGTGATGATGGTGATGATGATCATGTCCTGGATGTGAAAGTGCATAGCTGAAAAAAATGAAAAACATTGTCTAAATCTTTGTCACTTTTTTGAAATTCAAAAAATGGAAAATGAAGCACAAATTAACAATATTATACAGGCCCGACCATTCAGCAATGATGAAATAGACAAAATTATAGGCAATGATGAAGCTCCTAAAGAAACTCCTGAAAAAATCCAAGAAAATACAGAAAAAATTACAGAAAATCCGCCTCCAGTTGAATCAGCACCAGTTGCCACTGAAAATACAACAGAAGATGCAGAAAAAACAAATGATGAGGAAGAATCAGAAGAAGAATATGAAGTCGAAAAAATTCTTGCGCATACAAAGCAGCAAGGCAAGATATTTTACTTAGTCAAATGGAAGAATTATCCAGATAGTGAAAATACATGGGAGCCAGAAGCTTGTTTCAATTCTCGTGACTTAATTAAAGAATATTGGAAAAAAGTTAGAGAAGAAGATGAGCAAAAGACTAAACGAAAGCGCAGATCTTCAGAAACAAATCAAGATAATAAAAGCTCTAATGAAACAGAAAAAACAGTTAAATCCAAAAAAGATTCTTCTGAAGATAATAATGACGACGCAAATGAAACAAAAACTAAAGATTCCTCAAAAAAGGACAAAGAAAAAGCAGAAAAAAACAAAAATTCAGAAAATTCGGATGAAAAGAAAATTCAAGCAGAACAAATTCCAAATTCGCCAAATAGGATCGGAAGACAAGGAAGGAAACGTAATATCCAGCGCGTAAGAGGTGTTTGCATGAAAAACGGAGAACTGTTTTTTGCAGTTATTGCAAGTAACAAAAACAGACTTATCAGCAACGCAGAAATGAAACATCTGTACTTACAAAAGCTTTTTGAGTTTTATGAATCACATCTGCTGTTAGGAGAACCAATAGAAATAAAATCATCTGAATCAAAATCATCAGAAGAAAAGGAACATGACTCTTGTTAACTTTTTTTGTTTATAGAATAAAGTGTTTGTTTGAATTTATATATATTCTATATCTTTTTCATTATGTGTGTTGTTTTCTTCTTCATTTTTCCTTATAATCTGTTATAATTGGATTCTCATCTTTCATTTTATAATAAAAGAAAGCATTATTAGTTGTTAAAATGGTATCATATGTAGAAGCTATATTTATGATTGTTCATTCATTTCGTTTGTTGATTCCTCGCTTGAGTCTCCATGATACATAATTTTAGCAACTTTAATGGCATTGTCTCCAAATTTGATGCTGTTATTGTTATTGTTTTGATATCATAAAGATTCATTTGAATAACATGAGTAATTTTGCTTGTTTTTCCTATTGTCTTAAAATCATCAAATAAAAGTAGTAACTTCATTGGATATTAGGAACTTTGGAATTAATGCAATTACATAACAATGGAATGTAAAATCTGGCTATTTACAAACAAAAAATTCATAGCCTCCTTTCATTCTTTTTGGTGAGCCATGTGCGTCTGAAGGTCTTCAGAAAGTTAAAAGATGCTTACTTATAATTTATTTAATATTAACATAATCCAGATGCAGCTATAATAATATTGACGAGTTATAATTTAGTGAGATGAAGCATATGAATCATAGACTTATTTTAATTTGTGTTTAATAGATAAGAGGATCGCATAAAAAAGTATACTTCGTCATTATCATTTTAGATTGATTGATGAAAATCTTTAGAGAATATATCATCAGTTATTTCATATTGTAGCAATAGTCAGCAGTCTCTCCTGTTTCAGAAGTGGTTTCTCTATTGTTTCTTCTTTAATTTTATCTGTATGTTCTTCAGTAATTTCAATATGTATTGCAATATTTTATTGGAAAATATTTAACTCAGACATTAAAAACCAAAATAGCTATGAACTAGCTTAGTATATAGTCATTGTATCTATTTCATATCATAATATATTGTGATTTATTTTCAGAAGAATTCTCTTCCAATTCTGAATCTATTTCATTATCTTTTCATAAGTTGCATATTATAAGCAAATTAATTCGTCTCTTGCAAAAATGAAAGGCATAGCAGCTATTCACGATAGATATTTACCAGATGTGCTTTCTTTATAATAAGGTGAGTGAAAAAAACAATTGATTTGCTCTCGAAACGAGGAATAATGGCTGTATTATAAGAATAAATGTTTAGGCGCCATTTATCTGGAATAACTCTATCGCTTTCCGATTCATAGTGGAAACTGATTAATTTTGAGAGAATTTGTAAATAACCTTATTGTCATGGTTGTTTCTTTAATGTTATTTTCATGCCAATTATCCAGAATTTGCATTATGACATTTTGTGTCAAATTTTCTTTCAAAATAATGCTAAAATCACTCGCCGAGGAATATCCGGAGCGAGTGGTTTCTCTGAATGATTTTGAGATTGGAAAGGTCATTGGGCATGGTGGATTCAGTGAAGTCTATTTTGGGCTGCAAAAATCTACAGGAATTTACGTTGCCATCAAAATTCTGAAACAGAGGAAATTGACAGAAGAAAGATTCGTCGTATATGAACGAGAGATCAAGATACTTGCCCAAACTCAAAATAGATTCATTTTGGGCTTTGTAGGTTTTACAATTACATATCCTTATTCTATTATCACAATATACACATCAGGAAATTCATTGTACAATGCATTGCATCACGTTGGCGATGCGCCTGTTCTTACAGGAACTCAAAAATCAAAAATTGCATTTGCAATTGCAATCGGAATGAAAAAGCTTCATAACATGCGTGTAATACATCGTGATTTAAAATCACTCAACGTACTTTTAGATCGTCAATTATATCCAAAAATTTGTGATTTTGGATTATCTCGATTTGTTATGTCAGAAGAGTCATTGCTAACAGTAAATATAGGAACTCCGCATTGGATGGCGCCAGAGTTATTCGAAAATTCGATGTATACAAATAAAGTTGATGTTTACTCGTATGCCATGGTTCTTTGGGAGCTCTTGGTAGGTTCATATCCATTTAAAGGAGTTCCTGCTGTCCAAATTGCCTTTCTTGTTTGCAAAAAGCAAGAAAGACCAAAATTACCTTCTAGAACTCCAAATTCGCTTGCAAAACTCATTACTAAATGCTGGGCTCAAAAAACAGAAGACAGACCATCGTTTGGCCATGTTTACAAAGAGTTTATGGAGAATCAAGTTCATTATCCAGATACAGACATGAACGAGCTCAACAGGTTCATGAGAGAGTGCATTGATAATATCGATGTACCATACGATGAATTAGAATTCATCCGCAAGCTCCCAAAAAGGAACTCGATTCCGACTGAAATGAAATCAAGTCAACCTTTCCATCCTGTTACGGATTCAGATGATGATTTTGATTTATCATCACTTAGCAGTGCTAAATCCAGCGATTTTCTTAAGGCTTTGGCTTCTGTTAAGAAAGATATGCAACCTTTCCACGCTTTGCAGTTTTTTAACACTCTGAAGGGTAATATATTGGAGAAACCTGATGATGAAGTCCTCCTTGAAATTGTGACCACAATTAAGGACTTAATAAGTGATTCTTTGATTGCATTGACTGCTTTCATCGAATCCGGCCTGTTTAACACTCTGCCGCTTGACAAAACAATACTATCTGAACAGATGCTCGAAATATACCTCCAAGTGTTCTCTATAACGCCAAAAGCTGTTTCGAAAATTTATTTGGACCATTTAGCACCTTTATCGGCCACATACCCTCAGAAAGTTTTATGTATAATGCATAGATACTTATGCGGCCATTACAGGAACCAATTTTTCCTTGAAATGTCAGATTATTTGATATCTTCCTACCAAACGTTCTTAAATACGGATTCTTCGAAGGAATATTTAAATCTATTGTTCACTCTCATACAATTGAACGAAGATTTTAAGTATTCCAGGTATCTTTACATACAATCCATTCTTTTAGAGACAATACGGCTTAACAAGCATCCTGAGATAGCAACAGATATGATAATATACATTTTAGACCCAAATTCGCAGCTGAATCAGGAATTATTGATTCCAATTCTTCAACAAAAAGAAACTGCTGAATATGGACTATCAATACTTGCTCGTCTTAATGATATAGTTCCACCCCTACCTATGCTTAATGCAGTTATCGAATCCGCAAAAAAATATGAAATTGGCAGCTTAATTTTATGCAAAATGGCAGAGAACGAGGTCATCAGTTCCAAGTTGGCCGATGAAATAGGCGAATGGGCATCTTTAAATCTCCCAAATTTGTTCGGAACGTTCAGATTATACGTTGTTGTACTCCACAACAAGCGGAACGTCAGAATATTAAGTACTAACGAATCCTCGCTTGAACTTCTTAAGCGGATTGTTGTTCTCAAAGATCCGAAACTGATTTCGAATTTGAGCCACATTTTTTCATGTTTGAACTCGGCGATGTTTATAAATTCTGCCACGGAATATGAGTTACTTGGCAGCTATTTCCGCATCTGTCTCGAGCTCGGCGACTCTTCCACGATTGCGGCGTGTTTGTTCACTGCAGAAAGGCTCGCGAGGACTTCCTGGAGTGAGGAATACCTGCAGATCATTCCGCTCTCTGCTGCTTTGTTGAAGCAGATGGGCGGATGGGAAAAGTTCGTTTTACCGTTCATTGCAACTGTTTCTTGCTACGAAGACGCTGCAGACGAAATCTACGAATACAACGTCATTGATACTTTGAATCTTCTCCTGTCTTCGCAAGAACTTGGTGCGTACGCGCAAGCAGCAATAAACAACTTGCAATAGAATAAAAAATATATATTTGTTTATTTATTTTTAAATATATCGCTTTTTGATAAGAATGAATCATTGCTTGAAATGGTTTTGTTTTATACTAATCAGAATCAGACTCTAGTGAAGTTGATGATAAAGCAATTTTTTCAAAAATTGACCTTTTATGTGATTCATCATCATTGGAACTATGGTTTTCATTACTCAAATCTACCATTGAAAAATATTCTACAGGTTCATGAGAGAGTGAAGGTGATGATAGAGCATCAGATACTTCTCAAAGAATCATGTTTTCTTCTGATTTCAGCGTCCTCTTCTCGTGTTTGTTCGATTAATTAGATCGAATTTTGTTTCTTTTGCTTGATTTGTGTTTTGATTTAAAGTCGTGTATTTCTTAGGAGACAAGCATTTAAAAAAACATCAACATTACTATATAATCATATAAAGGTTTATCATTGTGAATCTTGGTGAAAAACAAAGCGTTTTCCACGCAATTTATTTTATTACTTCTTTTACCAGATATCATAATGTTATTCCAATTTCATTTATATATTTATTGGAAAAATCTTTGAATCCAGAATATGGATAAGTAGAGTTAAGTTCATAGTTTCGAAATATAAATCCAAGAATCTATCTTTATTAGAATGAATAAATAAGATAAATCTAATGTTTTCTTTCAAATGTTTTATAGGTTGAAGTTCCATTGATTCATCGATGAAAATAGCCTTAAGCAGACTATATCATTGATGCGTAAGTACATCTCCAAAAAAAATCTCTATTTATAAATAAAAAAACAAACAATTTTTACTTTATTGAAGAGAAAGTATATTCAAAAGTTTTTCGAAATCAGTCGAACTCAAGTATTCAGATATTATGATTGTACCTCCCTGAAGCAAGTCCAGTTGCTGTTGCTTCTCACTCTCTGAATCGCTCTTGTAGAATATGAAAGGAGGGAGTAAAATGTAGTTCTCGTTTGGAGGCGCAATCAAGTTATTTATAACATCACTTATGAAAGGAATTCCCAAGTTATTTATTGAGAACAGCAAATAGTCCTTTTGTGCGTTATTTAGTGGTGAATTACTAGAAATCACACAGTTGAATCTTTTTATCAGCTTCTTGACGAATCCTTGTGATTCATCATCGCATGGGATGTTGTTGTAGTTCCATTGATATCTTCTGTCAAAAATTCCTTTCGAACTGAAGTAAGAAACAGCTGTTTGTCGAAGATAGAGCATTCCAAATGCGTAGAAATTAAAGGACAAGTTGAATTCATCATCATTCGATGCTTTCCTGAAGTAGTTATTCGCAACATAAATAGTTTTGTCGTCTAAAACTGTCGAAATTTGCAAACAAAACGAATTATTGTTGCGAAAAGCACTAGAAACAGATAAAGCACACATAATAGAGTTCAACGAATGGAAGTATGATGAAGATAATGTGATAGATCGTGTCCTTTTGCAGATTTCTTCATAAGGAGCTGAAACCCACTCTAAATTCAAGCCACTTGAAACAATTATAGTGGTAGTACTACGAAGAGGAACATTTCTATCAAGAATAAGTGATAAATATCCATTGACATTCTTAGATGTCTGTTGAATCATTAAAAATGAAAAATGATTCTCGTAAAAAATCGAATAAGGCGTTGTATTCTTCGATGTTGGTGAAGATACATTGATACAGTGTACAGCAAATGGTAAATTTGGTAAGGATGGTACTGTACTCGCATAAAAATAAATTACTCTGTCTGGTTTGAAGGTTTTGAGGGATTCGAATATGGCAGCTGTGGATTTCTCCGATGATGTTTGAAAACCACATGTAGAGATCAGAACGATGACTTGTTCAAATAACTCAGGAATTTGAGAAGAAGGGAATAAATGAGGGGTAATATCAGTATCATATACTCCTATTTGTAAGTGTATGTAATCTTGCTTCTTTGATATGTATATTGGATGCATACCGTTGAATATTAAAATAAATTTGTCATTACCCATGGTTTTGACGAAAGATTCTTCCATTAATGAAGTAAACACTCGTTGTAAAAGAACATTTGGTATATTTAAATCGAATATGAATGCAATTAATCTGTCTTTTTTTACTAAATTCGCTGGCTGATAGTAATATTCTTCAAGATAACATGATTGTATGGGTTTTTCAACAGATACATTGCAAATTGGGCATTGTTCTCCTGTTTTATAATAACTGCCACAAGCATTGCATTGAATTATTGGAACATCTGTCTTTTTTATTATGTTTTCTTTTGGCACTTCGATAATCAATCCGAAACTAAGAGATTTAGCCGCTTTTTTCGTGCCTGGTAAAAAATTTGAAGTCAATTGTATTCTTCTCATTAAAAAATTTAAATGGAACTTGTATTGATTAAAGTGATCATGTGAATTTTGGCGTCTTTTATGTGAAAAATATGCAGGGCTTAATTGAAAATAACATGAATAATATGTATAATTTTATTACAAACAAATATAAAATAATAAGATAGATATATATGAATGTCTAGTACTCTAAACAGAATGGAACGAATGTCTCTGCCAGCCATTGGTTAATCAATGGTGTATAAGAGTGAAAATCGATGTCATTGTCAGTTGTTTGGTATCGATTCTTCCAAACATTTGTGAGAAGTGTATATGAGGACCCAAAATAGAAAAATTTTGATAAAATCAAATTTTTGTGATCTTTTGATGAAATTTTTTGGTTTAATTGCTGTATAATCTGTGAGATACTAACTGTTCCTTCGCATATCTCGTGTATTATTGAGAGTATTGTCATGGCATCTAAAGATCGAAGTTTATTTCCGCAAAACTTGATAATGAAGTATTTTTTATCATCTACTTTGCGAACATCAGTGATATTGATGGAAACTTTATAAGGAGACTGCAAAAAATACGGATTTAATGATGAAAGTATATTTTTGGAAATGCTGTATGTATCTGTTTCCTCTTCAATATATCCGAAATAATTCATTTCGATACATTTTGATGGTGAAAAATCTGCGTTTATTACCTTAATTGCATGAAATTTCACTAATTCGTTTGAAGATTGTTGATAATTTGTATTCAAATACTCACATAAAGTATCTATATTAGGTGGTTCTGGTGAATGCACTTGAAAAGTTATGATTTTGCCAATACAAAGATTTAAAGTGTTATTTGAAGAATTGAACTTGATTATTGAAGGATTATTCATCTGTTTTTCGTCAATTATTCCATAATTGGCCAATAAATTTAAAACTTTTTTATTAAATTCTGATAAATTTTGAAGAAAATGGCTACAATATATTAAAATAGTATACCTATCGGACAGATTCCTTCTAAAAGCTTCATTTCTTCTCCGTTCCCTTCTTCCTATAAAGGAAAACAGAGTTCCCATTTTTGATCAAAAATGAAAAGGTTTACAGTGTTTACGGGTGTGAATAGTAATGAATTTCTCAATAAAATATATCGATTGACTCTTCATCACTCAATCACTATGTGTGTAACTAGTCGATGATGAAGTAATTGATTAATAAAGAATGCGTATCATCTCTACATAGCTATATCATTATATGAAAAACAATAGAACAATCAATTCGCAAATCGTAAGTCTCCCCTTTACATTTCGTGTTCCAAAAACTATTGTTTAAAAAGTTCATTAATAGTGATTTAATGATGATACTATGTTTTATTCTCATTTTTCAATAAAATAGTCAAATGAATGTGGATTTGCTTGAAATTCAAATCACTTGCATTTGTCATGTCTACACCATCTAATTTCGCTTCAATAGAGAAAAAAATAATTTCATAACAAAAATTATTTAAAAAACATAAATAAAAATCAAATAAATGTCTCGAGCATTTGCACAGATTTCAAATTGACTAAGAGTCTCTTCATTGAAAGGACGAAATTAAACGGATCATTAAGATTTAGCGCGTAACTGACCAAATTGATTGTTTCTTTTGAGGAATCAATTCTATGTGGTGGAGATATAGCTCTTTTAGATAAAACGCTAAACAATTGTTCAAATAAAAACATCATTCTTGAAAGAGCAATATTAAACTCAGGAACATTTGCTTTTTTCTCAGGATAAAGTAATTCATGCTGTTTTCCATTCACAATAAGTATAATTTTTGAGTCAATAATCAAATCACTCGAATCAATCATTGATTTCTGAAGTAATATCTTGAGATACTTGCAGATCAATAGTAATCCTGTTTGTATTTCTGCTAGTGGTACGGGAATTGATTTCAGAGAACCAACTCTGCAGGAATTTATTGTTCCGTATTGTCCATCAAAAGAAATACTGAAAACAGTGTGTATTGTGAAGCATCTTGATGGATCTGGTTGCGATGGATTTGCTTGTTTTTTAGGAGAAGTCTGCGGAATAATTTGATTTTCGGAATCGCTTATTTTTCTGATTGGTTTTTTAGGCTCTTCTTGAGGTTCTTGATCTGGTATAAGAAAATGGATGTTATCTAATGATTTCCCTTGAACATCAAATTTTTGGAAAAGTTCATTTGTATTTTTAAAGTAAGCAAGGAATTTATCTATGCACTTAACACATATCAAATGTCTTCTTGGCTCTTCATTTCCTGATTGCTTGTTAAGTTCATAAAGTTCTTTCATTAACATCGATTGACTTTGATCAGAGAGGTTAATTACTGATCCCAATTTGTTCACAATGCCATCATCTGTCAACGTAGTATCCATGGCAGATAATGAATGGCATGATGGGCATACAAAGAATAAAGTTTCACTCATTTTTTTTTTATTTTTGTCAAAAAAATATTGAATGAAGATGATAGTCTTTTGTTACGAATTAGGAGTCAGATTTTGTGTTTTTCAGAAGTGTAAGTGAGGTTATATCTGTTACCTTGAGTGAACATCATAACAGAAGTTTGATTAAATCTTATGATATCAAAATTACAATCAAATTTGATGTCATTCTACATGAAGAGTGCTCTTTTTTGTTGTTTCATTCGAAAAGCATCTATACTTAGCTTATGTTCAGTTAACATCTGATCAAATATTTTTCTATAATTATTTATAATATTTGATGAAATTATTATACAACATTGAGATAAAGATGCCTGAGTGAGCTTTTAGATTGAAAGAAATGATATGAAAAGCATTTGTTTCGAAATATAATATGATTTTGAATAGATAAATGTCTTAAAGAAATGTTTGATTAAAGTTCAATTATAGCTAAAATGTGAATATGTAAACTGGGCTTTAGAAGATCACAATAGGAATAATTTCGATAACTTTATTAAGGGTGCACCCGTATGTACGTTTATTTGAGAGGAGGAGGATTACCCTCTCAATTTTGAGGGATTCGTTAGTTTATTTTCTCGATGAATATGCAATAAAATTTGATTTTTACCTTATCAATATACTTCATATAATATACACATGTTCATGTAAAAACTTTTTTCCAAAATCCTCAGGAATTAAGGGATTTTTGAATTTTAAGAATTTTTTCGAATTTTTTCGAAAAAAAAATATTTTCAGAACAGCCTTAACGGCTAAGATTTAGGAACAATGTTAAGTATCAAAAAGAAAGGAGGTCTGATATAGACAACATATATCGTTGAAGGTTGAAAAAATCTCTAATATTTGAGCCCAAAATTTCAAATTTTAATTTTTTGAAAAAAGAGGCCACCCGTATGTACGTTTATTTGAGAGGAGGAGGATTATATTTTTGAAAGGGTGAAACATTATGAATATGTTAATTATATAATAATATGTATTATTATAAAAAAGAAAAAATAAAGCACGTTAAAATTTTTCTTTCTTGATTTTTTACAAAATCTACTTAGAATTATGCAAAATATGACTAAATAATTATAAATTTCAAGTTAAATTTTAATTTTGATAAATAATTTAAATTTCAAAATATCAAGTTCAGTTCGACTATGTATGTAGTAATTCCTCAATAAAGTGCCAAAACCCTATTAAAATATATGAACATTTTCAACATTTTAATGTTTTTATTTAAAAATTTGATGGAATATGAGCTTCAAACAATTATTATGTAAATAAAAATAATTAAATATATGTATTTATTCGTATTACAACCGTAGTAAGTCGATTCTTCCTTTCTTCTACTGAGTTTTGAATTTGATTTCGAATTGTAAAGAGATTCAAAGGGAAAATACTAGCGGATAAAAACTACCTCCATGAAAGGGTCATAATGGACTCAAGTTGTATTTTTTGATATTTTTTGCTTTTCGAGCCTAAATAGGTAGCCAAGATAATGCCTAAAAATAAGGTTCTAATTTCTGAAGTTTACATGATCCTCTCGTGTGCACCCTTAATCTAGCGTAACAAGTTTTCAAAAATGGAAATATCTTATTTACAAGAATGAATTTGTCAAATTAAATGATTAAAAACCTAGTAGAGGGTATTTTCAGATGAATTCTGATCCATAAGGAAGAATGAAGCAAAATTATCTATTTGGTCAAGCATTTTTCATGTATTACATGCTAATTATTAAAAGCTTCGTTGGCCTTAGCAAAGGAAATCCTGGGAATTATCCCGACCAATTTTAAAATCGATTTTTGAAAAATTATTATACATGAGATAATTAGCAACACATGTCGTAATAGATGATTTATGAAAAAAAGAGAAAGGGACAGACTAGCCCATTGTCACTTTTTAATTTAGCAAATGAACGCTTATGGAGTGGAGTTTTTGGGTAAATCTGATTTGCTTATAAATGAAATAAAATCAAAAGAAACCATATTGGCATTATATTATGCAAAAATAAATGATCTTACTTAGTACTTTTAAAGTTAATTTCAGAAAAAAATTGACACAATGGTATCCGGCACATACAAGTGGTGTACAACCAAAATACAAGTTGGTTTAAACATATATTGCTATATCTCATGATCTTACTTAGTACTTTTAAAGTTAATTTCAGAAAAAAATTGACACAATGGTATCCGGCACATACAAGTGGTGTACAACCAAAATACAAGTTGGTTTAAACATATATTGCTATATCTCATGATCTTACTTAGTACTTTTAAAGTTAATTTCAGAAAAAAATTGACACAATGGTATCCGGCACATACAAGTGGTGTACAACCAAAATACAAGTTGGTTTAAACATATATTGCTATATCTCATGATCTTACTTAGTACTTTTAAAGTTAATTTCAGAAAAAAATTGACACAATGGTATCCGGCACATACAAGTGGTGTACAACCAAAATACAAGTTGGTTTAAACATATATTGCTATATCTCATGATCTTACTTAGTACTTTTAAAGTTAATTTCAGAAAAAAATTGACACAATGGTATCCGGCACATACAAGTGGTGTACAACCAAAATACAAGTTGGTTTAAACATATATTGCTATATCTCATGATCTTACTTAGTACTTTTAAAGTTAATTTCAGAAAAAAATTGACACAATGGTATCCGGCACATACAAGTGGTGTACAACCAAAATACAAGTTGGTTTAAACATATATTGCTATATCTCATGATCTTACTTAGTACTTTTAAAGTTAATTTCAGAAAAAAATTGACACAATGGTATCCGGCACATACAAGTGGTGTACAACCAAAATTTCATATCCCTAGTTTTACATTTATGTTTAGTTTTATTTCACCTAATTTTCAAAGATCATAATTGAATTAGATGGCCAAGCTATTCAAAACACGACCAAGCTTATCAAAATAAGACCAATATATTCAAAATTCTTTATTCTTTCAAATCATTTCATTTTAATGCAGATCCAAGATCACGAACTCACATATATCGAGTTGCTTAAGTATGGAGTGCAACAAGAAATACAAGCAGGTTGTAGTTATTCATATAAAACTAGGAAAGAAAGAAATCAAATCCAATTTAATTGTAAGTGGCCGAATTGTCCATGTCGCTTCCTTGTTGATACACTTCCCGATGACAAGTACCACATACGAAAATGTATTAACACCCACAATCATTCTGCCCCTTTTCCAAACAAATCACAACAAATTACATCATATTTTTCTAGATCTTATTTAACAAGATATTTTGAATCAAATCAAGACCGTGTTTACGCACAATTAAGGTGTTTCAAAGATCTTAATATCCCATTTGATAGTGGGATCATTCCGGAAATGTTTCAACAATCTACAGATGCTTTAAAAAAGTTTTCTAAACGCCTTCATGCAATCAATACCCGTTTCTCAGCGGATGATGTTACATCTCTTGCAATTTTTGTCGACATGGTTAAGAGTCATTCTCCAGATGATCTCATCGAGTTTATTCACGAGCCAGATCGTATGATTTTCTATTACGCCCCATTCGAAGCAAATGCTTTTTCACATCAAATACAAACTTATCACATTGATTCCACTTATAAGCTCTTGCGCTCTCGCATACCATTTTATGCCGTCACTGGCAAATTCGCGGAATCAATTGTTTTTCCGTTTTTGTATTTTTTTGTTTGGCCCGACACAGGTGAAAATATACAAGTTTGTCTCACAGCATATTTTGGCTCCATCAATCGCGAACCATCTTATTTTTCAATGGACTGCGCACCTCAAATCACAAATGCTGTTGAAACAGCCATCCCCTTATGCCAGATCATTTGGTGTGGCGTTCATGTGTTGCGCGCTGTCATGAGAAAGGCTGAAAAGTTTCAAGATCGTTCCAACTTCGAAACTTTCTATAACTTAATGAAGTTATTGGTCTTTGGTTCTGAAGAGGAAGAAATTGGTCCTGATGAAGTTTACAACAATTTAGAAGAAATTTTAACTGAGGAACCTGCTGCCCGTGAATACTTTGACCGACAGTGGCGCCATCATCTTGACAGGTGGATGCTTCGCTATAGAAATGAAGGAGATGGAACAAACAACATCGCAGAATCACATTTCAAGGTTTTGAAGCACCAGTACTTCTCAGAAAGGCGAAATCTTCGACTCGATGAACTTGTCATCGAGTTATATTCCAGTGTTGTTCCTTCATTCCTGATTAAGTTGCAAATTAAAGGTCTGGATTCAGAGAGAAGTGTTAAAGTTATCAAAAAAGTCACAAGAGATTTCGAAGAAATGACACAATTTAAAAAAGTCGAATGCATCAGTATGCTTGAAGCTGTTCAGAAAGGTCTGAAAAAATGATACACTTGATCCCAACATTGTTTACTCAACATTAAAAATATTATTGCAAAGAAAACATTTGATTTAATAAACATTTAATTTATTATAATTAATTTTTTATTATAGTATAGTAAAAAATGCTATAAATAAATTATTATATTTTATTAAAATGTGACTTTTAATAGTAAGTGAATAAAATAAATCAGGAATTGGGAAAGAAATAAGGTTAATTAAAAATAATGAAAATTACAAGTTTAAGGTTAATGAAAAAGTGACAATGGGCGAGTTTGTCCCCCACTCATGAAAAAAATAGATTTTTGAAAAGGTTCTGAAACCTAATATTTTTCCTAAATGTTAGTCACCGTAACGGTGAGCTCACATTTCGGCATAGTTTAAGTCTAGGTTTTGCATTTTAAAATGTTTGTTACCTTATCTTCTTTCAAAAAGTGGCAAAAATTTGTTTGAAATTTGAAAAAGATATTTTTATTTGCATAAATGACATTCAACTAAGCTGTAGCATGATTCTTTTGCATGCTCTAGTTTTTTTCTCAGTTCAATCTCCTTCCATACTCTTGCTTGTACCAGTAAGATCGCACCAAAATTCTCAAAAATTAAGATCTCCAAATTTTATGTCCAACTCCAATTATCAAACGCCCTCATTA